CCCATAAACTGTTGAAATGCAGACCTAAGTCGGAATCCAGATGCAACCAGATGAACACAGTTCCTGAATGACCTGGGGCCGGTCAGTTTCATGATGACTCCCCCTTCTTTTCATAGTCTGTCTGTTGATGTGTGGTTTTCGCCACTGACTCTGTCAGCGACTCATAATATATGACAGACATAGTCCACTCTAAATCCACTCACCCTGAACAGACAGCCAGGTTGAGATCGTCAACCTGCCCCGTATCAAAACACAGAGTTACAGAGGTCCAGTTTTAGTGGCCTGGTGTTTTTTTTTGTTGTATCTTTCCGCTCTTGCATATCTCACCTTAGCTGGATTTTGTTCACCATTTTGATTGGTTTTGCATAGAGAGGTTCAGATCACGAACCTGGCCCGAATCTTAATGCATATGCATGTCATCTGCCACTTGCAGTATCGCGGTATGTATCATCGATGCAAATGACAGTGTCCATATTACTTTCTCTACACCGAGCTAAGATCCCCGACGGCAGATTTTTCCATCTGCGTCATATCTGGATGCACATGGATGCACACCAGGTGTCGGATCATTCGCAAACAATTTCCGGTGTTGCTATGGTCTGTAGACTCTGTACCTTAAAGGCTTAAAGCCTTAAACTCTTTTTTTTTTATAAAAATTCATTGTTTTTTTTTTTTTTTTAATTGGACCATCCTTGTGCATGGGCCACTGGCATGCTAATCTTCTCTGCATCGTTCCAATTTTAGCGGATGTCCCGTAGGACATAAAGGCTTAAAACTCTAATCTCTCCTTAGTTGAATTGTTAGGGGTTAAGGAGAGCTGTCTGACATTGGCAAAATTTCGTCTTTGCAGCTCACGATTGGCGTAAGTTTGTTTGTTTGTTTGTTTAGTTAGACTGCTGAGATAAAGTAGGCGTGTTCGCTTACTGTTGAAGTACCTCCTGCAATTCTGGTCAGTGCCAAATAGAGTGCCTGCCACTGCCTGGTCATTATGAAGGGGTATCTAGTATGTACCCGCATATATATCTTTAACACATCGGTGATGTTTTGGCAGCACAGAGGAAGATAGTAGTAGGTCAGGTCCCACACTATATCACCGCATATTGTGCCCGGATTAAGTGCACATGGGAAGCATACACGTGCAGTGCATGTGTGCCATGCGCTAACGTATGAGACTCCGAAGTAATATATTTAGTTCAAATTATTTGTCAAAGAATGTGTCAGGTTATCATTCACACCCCAAGCTCTCTGTCAGGCAAGTGAGGGCCCCTCTCCAGGCACAAAAATCTATCTGGACTGCTGGAGCTGTTTTGCTATGCGATAGGATCACCCGCAGGAAATGCAAATTCAACGAGTTTTCAAGCGGATAATAACCATGGAATCATGGATATATAAGAAAAAGAAAAGCTGGAGCAAGAAGGTGCAAAAGAAAGACCTGAAGAATAATTCAGATCTTCAATTTCTGCTCTTTTCAAACTTAAAAGTTAAAAAGTTGTGAACAAAATCCGTAGTCGGTCTGCTTTGGTGACGTCTGCTTGACGTGTCCTATTTTTGTCTGCCACCTGAGCTGTGAGCCAAGATCATCCAAATTTGAAAACCCCAGTAGAGTTCCAATGGGTGGCAGTCGGCGATCTCTTAGAGATAAGAAGTTTGGGAAAAAGTCCGAAAAACAGAAAAAAGAAAGAAGTTTGCAAAGATCTTCTTTCTTTCTTTCTTTCTTTCTTTTTTTTTTTTTTTTCTTTTCTTTTTTTTTGAAAGCCCAGGGTGTTGTAGAGGCCAAGGACCAGACCCGCGGTGATTGATGGTAGCGGCAGCCAATGGTTGTCCTGACAGGATAGGCCACCTACTCTTCATTTGCCAATTTTTCCAAACAAGGCGAGCTTCAGAGGACACCTGGGCACTACCTCTTCTCACAAAGGCCTTCCTCTGCCCTGCAGTAAGACGCTGGGAAAGGGAACTTTCAACTTACCTGATTATTAATGCCCTCAGTACAAATCATGATGCCTCCTCCTCCATATCCCTCTTCGACTGCAGGGCTGGCAAAATGGGTCGTAGGCCTGCCATCACCACCAGACCTGGAAAACAATGCCTCAATGATTTTTCTCCCACACAAAGACTGAAACACATGCCCCAGCCCAACATGTGGCTGCGTTTGCCTTACCGGCAAGCATCCCTATACGTCATCTGTCGGGACACTCTCACAGAGTACGCACCAAGCTTAAAATATTTCAAGCAATGGATGCCGGTCCCTCGACCTAGCCGATACTATCTTTCGTCCTTTGCAAAGATGTGTCTAGCCAGCCACCTTAGTCTCTGTTTTTGCTACCTTCTTCCGCCGATTACAACGTACGGTCATTTTATAGCTAGACTGAGTGATGCCTCAAATACAGCTATAATGACCGTACTTTGTATTCGGGGGAAGAAGGTAGCCCTGAACCTCTTTTACCCAACCTAACCCGCAGTCTCTGTCAGGCCGATGTAGAACCATTAGGAGAGGCCGATTTTGGTGCATTGACCATGCAGACGTATGTATAATAGTATATGTGATACCATGCTTGCTGACTGAGAGCAATGAATCAAAAGTCAAGGCTGGCGATCCCCTCCGACCGCCAAGTGGGATTTACCTTGAGTGCAGATGGAGGGCCCCGGTAGCGCATTCGATTAAACTGCCAGCTCCAGGTCTATCCAGGCTACTGCTGTTGACCTAGCCCCATCTGGATGCATGTCCACATTTGCCTGTAACTGCAGCCAGTTGCAGAAGGTGACTGCGGCCTTAGTTGAAACAGGCATGTCCTTAGAAGAGGACCCGTTGTCCTCTGGTAGTTAAATGACCAGAACATCCGAGACTCTTTTGTACCAGGCGGATTCCCTCTGCGGCCAAGCTGTGCCGAAACGCCAGTGCCGCATTTTCGTTCTGGCTGGTGTTGCAAGTAATTTTGGCGTGGTTGACCCAATCCTCCATATTTTTCAGAGAGTGCCTCTCGTTCTGCTCAAGTTGCCTGGGGGCCAGGGCCATGTACTGGTGGTTTAAGAGTAAGTAGGATGTCCCATTTGGATTGGGGGAAAAGGAACATATTTGCAATGACCGTTCAACCTAATATGAGGACAACAAGTCAATGCCTCACCTTAGGTGTTAGAAAGAAAAAAAAAAAAAAGGATTATGCTAGGCACTGCAGTGCCCAGCAATCATATAGTCCTTGCCGGGTCCAGAGTCAGGAAGACTCACCAGGTGGACGAGACAGCAGTGAACAGGTTTGTGAGAGGCACAGGTGGCTACATAGTGAGAGGCTGATAAACGAGTCGACACCCACAATGTGGGAGATGGTGGGACAGACAGGACAAGGTGCTCCCTGATGAAACCGCACACCTCTGCAATCGTGAAAGGGGGAAAGGTGATTTTCGACCATCACTGGAGCAAGCCCCCCCCCCCCCTCCTCCTTAACATCTGCTGGCAGTGTCACCCGGGGATAGACGAGCAGCAGCCCCGGGCAGCGCCCCCCCCCAGATGGCTCCTGTCGATTGGTGGGGAGCTCCACCTGCTGGAAACCGGGGCCAGAGTCCCATACTGATACGAAAAGAGCCGGGGCCATTACCCGGTTTTGGCTGAAGAAGCTGTGGACTAAATGGGCAAGCTGGGGGCTGGGATGGGTGGGTTACTCTGGGGGCCACCAGAGCCCCATATCTCTGAAGCAAATTGATAAGAGAAGAGTGGCAAACATACCGCTGGCGACCAACGCCGTGTTCTCTTGAAGTGTGCCGCAATCTTCACGAGAACCCATGTTTTACGATGCCAGTTGCAGCTGCAGAGATGTCGTCGCTGGGGATTTAGAAGAACAGGATAGGTGCAGAACCATATCCAGGGATGTTACATGTTTCATGGAGTTGAAGGGTGAGGACATTTACCAAATTTGGCAAAGGGGGAGAGATACGGAGTGGAGAGGGAGTCAGGAAGAAGAAGAGTCATTGAATGGTTGTTGTCATGCATGCAAGTTGCAGAACTGAACTACTTCACAACCTTTCCGCTGGCCACATGGAGAACGGCTTTGAATTGGAAGCTGCAGAGCTGTAGCACTGTCCTTCTTTTGGGAAATGCATGTCATCTTCATATGAATTCTTATAAACAAAAAACTCACTCACCAGCATATAACATCACTTCCTTCGTTAGAGATGTCACTAGTGGTGAATTCGTTCCAGAAGCCATAAGCCCTTTTTCACCCCAAAAAAGGCAACAGTCTTGAGATGTATCCGCAGGTGACTGCCCCTAGGTAATTCAAGATAATTGTTAGTGTTATTATTGTAGATTATATGTCATGGTTATTCCTTTGTTGAACTTCTGTTATCATCACTATTCAGATTTCAGGCCTCTAGAGAATATCCTGAGTAAAATCCAGAGTCTCAACCCTCATAGGCATTGTAATCGAGCCATGGATGTCAGATAAGCCCTTATTCCTGAGAAATACACAAGATTTTGAGGCTTTGAATCTCTCTCCAAACACCATCAAATCACAGAATCTAAGTGTAGGGAGATCTCTGACCATTGGAAGTCCACTTTGAAGTTCGCAAATGGTTTACAGTTCAAGTGCACTGACAATGGAATGGTGTAGATCATTTGAATTCATCTAATTTTCATCCTCTATATGCTCAGCTCTACGAAGCAACTCATGACCGTCCTGCTCCAGATGCTCGTTGTAACCAACAAAGGCGGCTACCTTATTTATGGGTTACTCAACAAGATTCTTTCTTGAATTTTTGTGTCCTCTCTCTCTCTCTCTCTCTCTCTCTCTCTCTCTCTCTCTCTCTCTCTCTCTCTCTCTCTCTCTCTCTCTCTCTCTCTCTCTCTCTC